GATATCATGCTGATCCGTGATCACATCAACCTGCCTGGTTTCTCTGGTCAGAACCCTCTCAGAGGCCCCAATGATGAAAGGTGCGGATCTTGTTCCTTTGTTTATAGATGGGTAGGTTGTAAGGATTTGCCTGGGAGTTAGCAGAAAGCTCATTGTATTCCATTAATCTGAGATAATCCAACCCGTGCCCCTAGGTTTGGAGTTCGTTTCCCTGCCATGTCTGATGCCTATGACCGGGATATGAGGGAGAAGGCTCATGTTGTCTGGAAACAAATGGGGGAGCAGAGAGAGCTGCAGGAAGGCACCTATGTGACGCTGGCAGGCCCCAACTTTGAGACTGTGGCAGAGTGTCACCTGCTGCTGAAACTGGGGGCGGATGCTGTTGGTATGAAGGGGAACGTGGCTGGAGGCTTGAAGAGGGAGAGATCTGGTAAAATAGGGATGGGCAGAAGTAAGAGACTGTAGAGCTGATGGTGGATTGAGAGAGGATCTGACTTGAAGGGAGAGTGAATTAAATTGACTTGTAGAAACATACTAAGGTAGTGAGGTTTGATGTGTTGTCCCATCAGACCTCCCCACCCAGCATCAAGGGCTTTAACAGCTGTCATGCTAATGATCCTTCATTTGATAATTGTTTCTAAGGATTATTCTAACAAATATCATTATAGCCCCATTCCGTACCTTAGCTGGAAGACGGAACTGCATCATTAGAACTGGCTTCACAATTGCTGCAGACAGATATGGAAATAAAGTATTGCAATGGTAATATTTGTAAGAAAAGTGTAAGGCCCTCTGAGGCCCCACTCCTTCAAGCAATACTGAACAACCTAAGCTCAACTCTAATTTAGCTGCTTCCTTGGATGTTTTGTGAGATGTCAAATTGTCAGTGAGGTGATGCATAGAGGTTAGGCCAAAGGGTGAGGACAAGAGTCACTTGAGGATCCCGACAGTTGGTGTCCCTCTTTCTCCCCATCAGGCATGAGCACAGTTCCAGAAGTGCTAGTTGCAAGGCACTGTGGACTTCGAGTCTTTGGCTTCTCCCTCATCACCAACAAGGTCATTACGGATTATGAAACCCATGAGAAGGCCAGTCACGAGGAAGTACTAGAGACCGGGAGACAAGCGGCACAGAAACTGGAACGGTTCGTCTCCATTCTTATGGCCAGCGTTCCACCTCCTCGCAAGGCCAGTTAACCAGCCCTGGAGTGGTTTGGCCTCCCCCTCATGGCATCCAAGTAGCTGCTACCTGCCTTGTCCCTTTGCTGTGTCCTGTGCCTCTGCCCTTAGGCAGTAGCAGACCAGAAAGAAAGACCCCTATCGTTCACTTTCCCCGCTTCTCCCAGCAGACCTTCTGGTGCTGGGTCCTCTTATGCTCCACGATCTTCTCAGAACAGTTCTTCCCCAAGAGCTGGAGCCCAAGCCCTCCCACACATCCATAGATATGCCCAGGATGTGACTTGCACCCTTGAACTTGGCACAGTAACTGCTCTAGCTTTTTGAGATGATGCTCTCACATTCCTGGGGGCTCGGTTCTGAGTCCCCTAAAGCACAGGAGACCATGTAAGGACCATCCCAATGCCTCTTGGACTTTAATACTATCATACTTTGAGAATAAAGAGAAAGATGAAATAATGTCTTCATTTTTTGTGTAATTTGGGATAAGGCTGGGACACAGGCCAAGACTGGTCTGAAGGGCCGTGGGACCACATGTCTTGTGTGACTATCTGTGTCTCAGACAAGTAGCTACAAACTGAGAAGAGGTGGTACCTGAATGCAGGAAAGGGGAAAGGAAAGGCAACCTGACGAAAGATAAAGACTTAGAAGATGTGGGGTTCGGCCCCCTGGGTTAGCGGTTAAGTGCGCGTGCTCCACTGCTGGCCGCCCGGGTTCGGATCTGGGCGCGCACCGATGCACTGCTTGTCCGGCCATGCTGAGGTGGCGTCCCACATACAGCAACTAGAAGGATGTGCAACTATGACATACAACTATCTACTGGGGCTTTGGGGAAAAAAAGGAGGAAGATGGGCAGTAGATGTTAGCTTAGGGCTGGTCTTCCTCAGCAAAAAGAGGATTGGCATGGATCTTAGCTCAGGGCTGATCTTCCTCAACAACAACAAAAAAAAATTAGAAGATGATAAGGTAGGAAGGGCTAGCTTCTGGCACAGGATGGCCACTTCCCTCACACCAGTCTGCCCCTGTGCCTTTCCCTCTGATCGTTTCACCCCTTGTCTGCTCTCTCATGAATATCTGACTAAGTTCACGGATCTCAGCTTCTGTTCATAGTTGCCACTTCCTTGTTAAGCCCTAATTATATTTCCTCTCGATTTCCTTCTCTCAGCTACTCTCCCCTCTGCCATAACTAGTTGCAACTATACTCTCCCTCACTCTGACGGTGCAGCAGCAAATACGCCTTTTTCTGCTGTTGGCCACTGCACTGTTGGTTAGAGTTCTGCCAGCCTCAGGCAACCTGTGAAGTTGGCTGATACTCAGCTTCTTCTCTTTGAGCGCAATTTTCCATCCTATTGCTTCCTGTCTGCGCTCTAGTCTTTCTCTTCACTTTCGCTCGTTCAGAACCTCCCTGTGATGGGGCTCACAGGCATTGCCCTTTGTTGGCTCACTGCACTAGTTGTGCTTATCAACTTGCATTCAGCTGGCTGGCGTATTTGAAAACCACTCTACCCTCCCAGGCCTCTTTGCCTTTTGAGTCAGGGTAGTGGTGGATGAGCCTCTAATAGTGTGACATTTCAATTATTACTAGTATAAAATGGAAGAGCCATTTTGCACAGAAAGCTTTTGAAAAGTCTTTCAAATCATCCTTTGTTTGGTAGCTAACCTACTTCGCTGGGCCCACCACCGAGAAAAAGCATCCCGGAGCGGCCTTGTCACCATTCTTTCATCAGTTCTTTGTACCTCCACCCAGCTCTAAGACCCTACCTGGACCTTTAGGCAATCTGCTAGAATCTGTCATTCACCTCTGAGAGAGCTGGTTTAGAGGGAAGTGCTATGCATCCTTTAGATATAAACACAACTATAACTTGTTTATCTGTTGCGATTTCTTGTAGACAATTCTTTTTAATCAAGTTGTTAAATATCTCTGGATAACACTCTCAGCTCAGAAAATGTTAAATTGAGAATATAAAAATATTGTTTGGTCTTTCCTCTCAAGTGCCTTACAATTGTAAGAGATACATTTGTAAAGCTGTTAAATGTTCATGTAAGGTGGTATAAAATAGGTACAAGTCACATCTGATGGGAGTCCAAAGTTCACACTGACCGTATACACTGGACCGTGAGGTTTGGTTATTTAGGGAAAGCTTCATAGAAAACTTTGAGCTTAGTCTCAAAGGATGGAAGGGAGGAAGATTTCACACCAGGGTGAGCCAAAGCACAGAGCTATGAAAAGTACTAGACATGTTCAGGCTCATTGTCACAACAGATGTGACTAGACCAGAGGACACGAAGGGCTCTAGTGAGATGTGGGCGAACAGATGTGGAGGTTAGAAGAGGGCTGCATCTGGTGCTTTGCTTTCTTACGCCTGATCTGCCCCTTGGTGAGGTGGATGGGGAACCGGGATGGTGCCACCCGAAAAATATGTCCCAGAGAGACTTGAGTGGAATATTTAAGGGCATTCTAGTTTTATACATTTAGTAAACAAGTTTACCCATTTACCCTGTAGTGGGTGTCATGTAGTTCATAATGAAATACTAGACTCAAGAAGATTATGCATTTGATGTCTTAATTCAAGAGTCTAACTCCTTAATTCTTTTTTTTTTTTTTTGTGAGGAAGATTAGCCCTGAGCTATCATCTGCCAATTCTCCTCTTTTGCTGAGGAAGACTGGCCCTGGGCTAACATCCTACCGATCTTCGTCCACTTGATGTGGGACACCGCCACAGCACAGCCTCACACGTGGTGGGTCGGTGCGCGCCTGGGATCCAAACCCAGGCTATCAGCAGCGGAGCACGCGCACTTAACCGCTATGCCACGGGGCTGACTGCTAACTCCTTAGTTCTAAGTTAAAGTACAAAAAGTAGATTTATACAAGTGCATATTACTATATCCCTGTTAGGGTATTAAATGTACCCCCGTGATGACAGAAAAGAAAACTATACATTCTTTATGGTCCAAACTAGGAGGTATGATAAGGAAAGTAGCTACAGGCAAGTAATAGTCATTTAATTATAGGTAATATGTATTAATTCTAAATTCACTAGAATTCTAGGTTCGAGGGTGTATGGATTGGGGAGAGAAAACATGAACACAAAATGTCTTCAATTTCTTTTTTTAAAAGAGCTTTATTGAGATATAATTCACATATAAGAAAATTCATTCATTAAAGTATATAATTCACTGGTTTTCAGTGTATTCACAGATAAGTGCAATTATCACTACAGTCAATTTCAGAATATTTTCATCACCTCCAAAGGAAATCTTGTACATTTTAGCTATCATTCTGCCCACCCCTCACCTCCGTCGCCCCAAGCAACCACTAATCTACTTTCTGCTCTATAGATTGAATTATTTTGGAGTTCAAGTGAATGGAATCATATATGGAATCATGTGTACTTTTGTGACTGGCTTCTTTCACTTAGCATAGTGTTTTCAAGCTTCATCCAAGTTGTAGTATGTATCAGTACTTCATTACTTTTTACAGCCAAATAACATTCCATTGTACTGATACACCACAATTTGTTTATCAAGTGTCTTCAATATCAAAGTGTCAACCAACCCAGCCCAAACTGAATGTATCAGTTTAGGTGAGCAAGAGACTGAAAGCAAAATGTCAGGGGAGATAGTTCTGGGAGGGCCACGTAGGGTCGGGTAGTTCTTGGAAAAAACTGGTGATGAGACTATTCCTCTCTAGAGGGGCCTGTAGAATGCCTGCAAAATGGATTGATTTTCCTGAGTCTCGTGATGGGTGTCAAAACACACACATTTCTTCAAGTCAGGCTTTCTTCCCTGACCCTATCATGGTCATCTGTATCAACACCAATAATGTTTATTAATCATGTACTTTGCATGGAACATTGTCCTAAAACCATGATACAAATTGGTGATGAGACAAAGTGCTTGCAGTCTAGACAGAGACAGGATATATGTGATATAAAAAGACAAACAAGGCTGATTTAGTTGTGCCCTCTATGCCTACTTTTAGTCTTTTCAGATGTTATATTGTGATGGTTTAGAAAAATTGTTCTGAAAAAGGAATACAATATGTATCGTGTGGAAAGTAGCATAGGCTAAGCGCCAATGATAACATATGCTACAGAAATTCTGAGAAGAGAACTAACGTGGGATGGGAAGTGGGAACAGGATGGTGAGACTTGATTAAGCCTTACAGGGAAGATAGGTGGACAGGATGTGGCAGAAGGCACTACACGCCAGCAAATTCAGGAATGTTTAATCATTTAATAGATTGAAATGGTTAAAGTGAAAAAGTCATGAATGGGAGCAGCGGGAGATAAGCTGGAGAGGGGCTGGATTGTTTAGGGTCTGATTCCAGGCCGAGGAGTAAGAACCTTATTTTCTAGGCAACATAGACAGCCATTGAAGGCTTTTAAACTAAGGACTGTAATTACACTGTAGTATTTGATGGATTGAAGCCTAACTAGAATCAGGGAGGCTTGTTTTGATGGTAGCATTACTTTCACCCCAAATTAGCTGTAAAGAATAGCATAATTGATGGTGGTAAGTATTTTATTTTTAATCAGGTTGAGGTCTTTTGTTTAAAAGAATATGCTGTTATAAAATAAAATGTAAAGGCAAAGGTGCAAGCAATTCAGAAATGACAATATATACTTAAGTCAATAAGTTAGTAGTTTTCTCTTTTTTTTAAGTTAAAATTTTGTATAGGTCATATAATCACATAGTTAAAAATTAAGCAACATAAAACGTATACAGTGAAAAGTTTCACCTCCATCCTGTCCTCCATCTGCCCTTCCTTCCCCGCCTCACTGGTACCCACTTATTAGTTTCTTGTGCATTCTTCCAGGATTTATAAAAATATAAACAAACAGAAATACATATTCGTATTTTTCTCCTCTTATTGTACACAGAAATGAGTTTGCTATGTGTACTGTTCTGCATCTTACTATTTTATTTTATCTTAATATATCTTGGAGATCTTGTCACATCAGTAGGTTTTGTTTTTTCTTGATGAGTTAGGTCAGTGCTGTCAAGGGTACATGTCTCTCACTTCAAATTTTTTAGAAGCAAAAGAAGAATATGGTCTTAATTTTTTTTTTTTTAGCCATTTCCCAGTCCATTTGTTGATTACTAATAGGAATAGAGATAAAGAGATAATGCCACCTGCTGCCCCTTTAAAACAAGGAGGGGGAGGGGAGTAGAACTGTTCATTCTGTGCCCTG